TGCTCATGCACTGGCAGAATCAATATAGTAAAAATGGCTATACTACCAAAAGCAATCTACATGTTCAATGCAATTCCCATCAAAATCCCAATGAGATTCATCAAAGAGATTGAAAAATCTACCCTAAAGTTCATTTGGACACAAAAGACCCCCAACAGCCAAGGCAATACTGAGCAAAAAGAGCAATGTTGGAGGTATCACAATACCTGGCTTCAAATTATACTACAGAACCATAGCAATAAAAACAGTATGGTACTGACAGAAAAACAGATATGAATACCAGAGGAACAGAATAAAAGACCCAGATAAGCATCCATGCAGCTATACCCACCTAATTTTTGATGAAAGTGCCAAAAACATACGACAGAGGAAAGGCAGCCTCTTCAACAAATGTTGCTGGGAAAACTGGATATCTGTGTACAGAAAACTAAAAGTAGATCCATGTTTGTCACCCTGTACTAATAGATACACCCCAACACAGTGGCAGTAAGTGACTTTATCCTCTATCACCAATAGATAGGTCATCAAGACCAAAAATCAGCAAAGAAATTCTAGAATTGAATGACAACATAGGTCTAAAGGACCTGAAGATCTCTACAGAGTATTCCATCTTGCAAAAGCATAATATATATTCTTCTCAGCAGCCCATGGAACTTTCTTCAAAATAGAGCATATCCTAGAGCACAAAGCAAGTCTCCACAACAACAACAAAAAACTTTGAAATGACCTCCTGCATACTGTCTGACCACAAAGCAATAAAAGTAGAACTCAACAACAAAAACAGCAGCAGAAAATACTCAAACAATTGGAGGCTGAACAACACATTGCACAATGATCAGTGGGGCATAGAAGAAATAGGGGAGGGAATAAAAAGTTCCTGGAATTTAATGAAAATGAAAACACAACTTGTTAGAACTTATGGGATACAGCTAAAGCAGTCCTAAGAAGAAAGTTTATAGCCATGAGTGCATATATTAAAACATAGAAAGATAAAATATAATTGACTTAATGATACATCTCAAACTCCTAGAAAAACAAGAACAAGTTTAACCCAAAACAAAAAAAAGGAGTGAAATAATAAAAATAAGGGCTGAAATCAATGAAATAGAGACAAAAAATAATCATACAAAGAATCAATGAAAAAAAGCTAATTCTGCTGGGCACCAGTGGCTCACTCCTATAATCCTAGCTAATTAGGAGGCAGAGATCAGGAGGATTGCAGTTTGAAGTCAGCTTGGATAAATAGTTCTCAAGATCCTTTCCTGAAAAAAACACATCCTAAAAAAAAGGGGGCTGGTGGAGTGGCTCAAGATGTAGGTCCTGAGTTCAAGCCCAAGTACAGCCAAAACAAAAAAAAAACTGATTCTTTGAAAAAATAATCAAGATTGACAAACCCCTGGCAAATCTGACTAAAATGAGGAGGGAAAAGACCCAAATTAATAAACTCAGAAACCAAAAGGGGGAGATAATGTCAAACATCAAGGAAATCCAGGGAATCATCAGGGACTACTTTGAAATCCTATATTCAAGTAAATTGGAAAATCTAGAAGAAATGGACTAATTTCTTGATACATATGATCATCCAAAATTGAACCAAGAGGATATTAATTGCCTATACAGATCCATAATATACAATGAAATTAAAGCAGCAATAGTCTCCCAAAAAAGAAAAGTCCTGGACCTGATGGATTCTCTGCTGAATTCTATCAGACCATTAAAGAAGAACTGATACCAACCCTCCTTAAACTGTTCCATGAAATAGAAAGGGAAGGAACACTGCCAAATTCATCTGTGAAGCCATTATTATATTCATCCCAAAACCAGACAAGGACACATCCAAAAAGGAGAACTGCAGGCAAATCTCTTTAATGAACATACATGCAAAAATCCTCAATAAAGTAATGGCAAACTGACTTCAACAGTATATCAAAAAGAACATACAACATGACCAAGTCAGCTTCATGCCAGGGATGCAGGGATAGTTCAACATATGCAAATCATTAAATGTAATACAGCATGTTAACAAAAACAATGATAAAAAACCATTTGATCATCTCAATAGATGCAAAAAAAGCCTTTGATAAAATTCCACATCCTTTTATGTTAAAAGCTCTGATGAAACTAGGAATAGAAGAATATACCCGAACATAATAAAGGGTATATATGACAAACGTACAGCCAACATCATACTTAATGGTGAAAAACTGAAACCATTTCCCCTAAGGTCAGGAACAAGACAACTGTGCCCACTCTCCCTACTCCTATTCAACATAGCTTTGGAATTCCCAGCCAGAGAAATAAGACAGGAAGAAGAAATAAAAGCAATACAAACAGGTAAGGAAGAAGTCAAACCATCTCTATTTGCAGATAAAATAATGTTATACCTACAAGGCCTGAAAAACTCCACCAAAAAACTCCTAGACACCATAAACAGCTTCAGCAAAGTAGCAGGCTACAAAATCAATTTACAAAAATCATTAGCCTTTCTACATACCAACAATGAACAGAATTAGAAAGAATATAGGAAAACAAATCCATTTACAATAGCCTCAAAAAATAAAATACTTAGGAATAAACATAACAAAGGATGTAAATGACTTCTACAAGGAAAACTGCAAACCATTGAGGAAAGAAATTGAAGAAAACCGCAGAAAATGTAAATATCTCCTATGCTCATGGATTGGTAAAATCAACATAGTAAAAATGGCTATACTACCAAAAACAATCTATACATTCAATACAATTTCAATCAAAATCCCAATGACATTGATCACAGAGATTGAAACATCAACCCTAAAGTTCATTTGGAAGCACAAAAGATCTCAAACAGCCAAGGCAATACTGAGCAAAAAGAGCAGAGCTGGATGTATCATAATATCCATCTTCAAACTATACTACAGAGCCATAGCAATAAAAACAGCATGGTACTGGCACAAAAACAGATATGAAGACCAATGGAACAGAGGACCTAGATATGAATTCATGCAGCTACATCCACGTAATTTTTGACAAAGGTGCCAAAAACTTAGGATGGAGGAGAGGCAGCTTCTTCAACAAATGTTGCTGGGAAAACTAGTTATCTGCCTGCAGAAAACTGAAAGTAAGTCCAGGTTTGTCACCCTGTACAAGTATCAACTTAAAGTGGATTAATGACCTTAATATCAGACCTGAAATTTCAAAGCTAGTAAAGGAAAAAGCAGGAATACACAGTAACAAATAGGCATAGGCAAGGACTTTGTCAGTGGAACACAAATGGCTCAGCAACTAAGAGAAAGGATGGATAAATGGGACTACATGAAATTAAATAGCTTTTGCACAACAAAAGAAATGGTCTCTAAACTGAAAAGACCACCCATAGAGTGGGAGAAAATATTTGCCAGCTATACATCAGACAAGGGACTGATAACCAGAATACATAGGGAACTTAAGAAACTAAACTCCCCTAAAGTCAATGACCCCATAAAGAAATGGGCAACTGAACTGAACTTTTTTAAAGGAAGAAATCTGAATGGTTAAAAAACACATGGAAAAATGCTCACCATCCCTGGCCATAAAGGAAATGAGAAATCAAAACCATACTAAGATCCCACCTCACTCATGTTAGAATAGCTATTATCAAGAGCACCACCAACAAGAAATGTTGGTGAGGATGTAGGGAAAAAGGAACCCTCATACACTGCTGGTGGGAATATAAGCTAGTACACTACTTTGGAAAACATTATGGAGGGTCCTTTAAAAAGTAGAAATAGATCTGCCACATGACCCAGCAATACCACTCCTAGGGATATACCTGAAAGAATTTGAGAAGCAAACTGGGGAGGAGTGAAGAGGACTGGTAGAGACGAAACATTTGGGGTTGTAATACATATATGCATGGAAACAACACAAGGAATCTCCCTGTATAGCTATCTTTATATCAAACTAGTAAAAATCCTATGTTCTCTTATTATCTTTTACATTTTTTTCCTACAATATTGGAAAGCAGGAGAGCAGAACAGTTTCTGCCTGGGATGGGGGAGGGTTGGCACCAGTGGGAGAGGGGCGGTGGCAAGGAAAGGGGTAGGAGGATGAATATGATGCAAATACTATGTATACATGTATGTAAATGCAAAAATGATACTTGTTGAAACTGTTCCAGGAATCAGGGGAGGGGAGATGGAGTAGAGAAGTAGAGTGTGGATTTCAAGTATGATATATTTAATACATTGTAAGAACCTCTGTAAATGCTACAATGTACCCACACCCAGCACAGCAATAAAAAAAGAGCCTTTCAAAGTAAAAAGAAAAATATATCTGCCGTATGATCCAGCAATGTCACTCCTTGGGATATACACAAAGAATATAAGTCAGGTTACAATAAAGGCACCTGCATATCCATGTTTATTGCAGCATTATTTACAGTAGCAAAGTTATGGAAACAGTCAAAATGCCCCACTACTGATAAATGGCTGAAGAAAATGTGATATATATACATATATATATATATATATATATATATATATGTATATATATATATATATACATACACACAATGGAATATTATTCAACCTTAAAGAAGAATGAAATTGTGTCATTCACAGATAAATAGATAGAACTGGAGATCAAGTGAAGTAAGCTAGACTCATATGTGAAAGATAGATCCAAATCTAAATATAATACATTTATATGTGACATATTTCCAATAGTTGGAATGTTTGAGGAGACTATGGGAAGAGGGAAGGCAGAACAGATGATAGAGAGTGAATAATACTTAAATACATCACATCTGAGTAGGAACAAGACACAACAAAATGTGCTGAAAACCGTTAAACAATATGGGGTAATGGAAAAGGGATAAAGAAGAGTAATAGAGGGAGTTAGAGTGATTAAAAAACAATGTATTTGTAGGTAAAATACCAAGGCAAAACACCTTGAAAAAATGAACAAACACTAAACCAATGAAGAACAGGAATGTAAAATAGGTCATGTTAAGGGGAGGACACTCATGGGGGAGAGCGTCAATGAAGAGGGTAAAGAAGGGTGAATATGGTCAATATACTTTATATACTTGTATGAAAATAGAACAATGAAGCCTGTGGAAGCCATTTCTTGATCTATGGCCTGCATATTTGAGTTCTCATGCTAAGGCCTCTTGGAACAATTTCAACCATGGTGTACAGGAAACAAGAGCTCTGTAGTTTCCTTTGAAGATTCCTGCTTATCCAGTGTTTTTGGTCCCCAAGTTGCATATCATACAACCCTATTTGTTGCTCATTTCTAATCTAAGAAGGCAAGCACTTTTAACAAAGGAATGAACACACATGGATAATGTTAGTATCATAAAAGATAAAAGGAAAAGGAGGAAAAGGAAAGATATAGATGTCCATTCCTGGGGCTCAGATGAAGAAAGGCCAGAAAAATCAAAGGGGAGAATAAGAGAGGGAAATGTGGTTGGGAAAAGGAAGAGAAAGTCTGGGAATTATATCAATACAACATTGTAGAGATAAGAGTAATAGAAAACTGGGAGTCAGGTGACTTGAACTTCAATGCATCTTTAATACTGTTTACTGAATATTCTTGTAACTCCATTTCTCAACTGAAAAATTGGAGGTCTCTTCTAGCTTGAATGTTTGATAAATAAATTTTGTCTCTGGTACAGAACAAAGCAATGCACACAGCCCTGAGCCTGTCACTGAGTTTAAAGGAGGCAAAGACTGTGTCTACCTCACCCCTGGATGTCTATGAACACAAAAGGCATTCTCCAGGGTTTATTAGGAGGCTGTAACATAGGCCTAAAAGGTGAAAAATCCCATGACAACAGGGTACTTTGTCGATCTAAGCAGATGTAAGCTTAATTTTCTTCACAGCAAGATAATAAGCATTATAGTAGTTCCTAACAAAGCAATTTCAGATACATGCTTAACACAATGAACTACTGGTATTTCATCCATTTATTTACAGGATTTAAATGCCTTTCCTTTAAAACCAGGATTTCTGCCAGATAACCCACATAATGGACAGAACACAATGACTGATACCAAATGACTAACAATTTTGTCCAGCCCATGATGTCCAGAACCATCTCCTGGTTCTGGTTAACTTTGCAGCTACATTCCTGATGATGTGGTAACATTTTAAGATCTGATTTCCAAGAGATTGCTGAGTTGCTGGGGGACTTGCCACTTTCAGGAACAGGTTAGCAAAATGCAGAATATCTCAAATCCTGAGAGAACTTCACAGAAGATTTGAGACATTTATATAGCACTTGTGAACTGAAGGGAAAGAAAAATTCCTTTGAATGTCAAATATGAACTTATGCTTAACTTCTCCATTCCAAATTTATTCCTCAGAGGGCTGAGAGTGAAGAGGAGAAGCTTCTGAAACCCACTCAGCTGTTCATTAGAGCACCTGTGTTGGATAGCATTTTTATTTTTTCATTATGATGACTGTTTAAACAATAAATACTGTTACTTTTTTTAAATGCCTGTAGGACCTGAATCTGAAATTAGAACTATAAGTTTGAAATCATGTTATTTTTCATTGCTTTTATATAAATGAACCAGAATTCCAGATTGCATTTAATTTATGTGTTTTTCATAGGTTAACCATGAATTTACATTGAAATTGGTTTCAATCATGAAAAAAGAAGCTGTTGAATTGGTTAATTAGTTACTAGTTGAAATAATAGGGTTTTGTATGTGCCAGATAGTGTGCTAGAAGAATCATCCCTTCCTTCAATGAATACTTACTCTGGAAGAAAACGAATTACTTATGACTAGAGTCTCCAGGTAAAATGCAGGATGCCCAGCTAAATTTGAATTTCATAAAACCAGAGATTTTTTGAGTTTTATTTGGGACATGTTTATACTAAAAATATATCAGCATTCTATACTTTTATTTGCTAATTCTTGGGATCCTAGTGTTGGATGGTCTGTGACATAGTATGGTGGCAGATGGGTGAAGCTCAAAAGTTTGTGCATCATTATATAGAGTCTTGAATTTATTCTATAGGAACAAACAGTTTTTAATAAAGTTTAAACAAAGTACACTTTAGAAGGATTAACATGAAAGGAGAAATTTAAACCTTTAAAAAAACCAGTTCTCAGTAATAGCTTAAGCAGAACACATTTGCTGTCCAAATATCTGATATGCAATAGCCACTTGGTGGCTGGTGTCACCTTTGACTTGGCTGGCTGTGATGGAGATTCCCTTTGCACACTGTCAACATCTCTCTGCTTCCTCTGCCTCAGGGGTTCTCCAGAGCTGAGTGTAATTTTTCTTTGATTTCTCCCTTTCCTGTTTCACTAAACTTTTTCTTTCACATCTACTTTTGAGGATCAACACCTGTGCTCCAATTTCTTATTTTATGTTCTGTTCTTGAGTGCACTTAAGCTAAGAGCCTATCCTTCTCCATTTCTTACAAGAATTAAAGATAAATAGTACCTGATTTATTCACATACTACTCTTTTTCTTAATAAAGCTTAACTGTTTCCTAGAAGCATAGTCAAGTATGACTAGACAGAAAAGCTTTACTAGTTATTGTGCAAACCTGAAATTATCTCAAATTTTTATATCCGTATGTGACTAAAACTTGATAACATCTTCCTAAATTTGACAATAATGATAATAATTCATATGACATCAGAAATAATGAGTTGTGAATGTGAAAAAAAAATCTTTTCTGAACTATCAGTAGTAATAGTCAAGTTTTAATTAACCGTGTTAGATGAACGACTAATTATCTTTTGATTCTCTCCCATGAAGAGGTACTAAAAAGAAAATGTAGCCAGAGAAATAGGGGGAAAGTATTTCATAGTACTATATATAGTGTAATATTTTACAGACTGTTAACTACTAAAACATTTTGCTAATTTTCTCAATTGCATGATATATGTATCACTAATCAGCTATTCAAGAATTATAAATTGTTATAATTTCTTTTTATAAACAAATACTAATGTTCATACCTAATTTTATATTTATACTACTATATTATTTGATGTAAGAAAGATTGTGAGGGTAGAATATGACTCAAGCTTCACAAAACCTGAATCTACTTCTGCTTGTCCTTTATTTATAGAGACTAATTTTATTTAGTATAAGCCTCACAAAAATGGGTGTTTTTATCTTTTTTTTTAAGACTTGATTATGTCTGGATACAAAAAATGAGAAAAGTAAAATATGGATAATTTTTCCTATAATTTAAAAATGCTTTTGAAATTAAAACATTGGTTTTTGATCCAATGTGGTGTTATTCACAATAGCCAAGTTATGGAAACAGCCAAGATGCCCCACTACTGATGAATGGATCAAGAAAATGTGGTACTTGTACACAATGGAATTTTACTTTGCCATGAAGAAGAATGAAATCTTATCATTTGCAGGAAAATG